TGTGCGTGTGCGTGTGCGTGTGCGTGTGCGTGTGCGTGTGCGTGTGCGTGTGTGTATTTTGTGGCGCCTTACGTGTTTGCGACTTGCTTCACGGAGCTTGGTTTTGGGTTCTGCTCGGGGCCCTTTTCCTTCCTGCCATGTGGTTGGTGGATGTCCGCTGAAGCTTCTCCGGGCACTTTCCGGTGCTAAACAGTCGGCAAAGCATTAGCGTCTGGAAAAGCCGAAAGCCGCATTGAAATGTGAAATCATGTGCGTCCCCCCACGAAATCAACAGGGAAATTGGAGAAACCCAAACGACAAAAGTCGGGGGGCGGAGGGCCGCCTCTACCCGTCAGTGAGGGGCGTGCAGCGGAGATTGCGGGCCGCCCCGAAACAGGCCGCTCAGAAAGGGGGGGTACTCGGCGGGACACTCAGTGATTCACTGGCCAAGGGAAGTTTAGTCAGAAAACTTCCGCAATACGAAAAGTTGAATGCAAGCACGAGAATCAATAAGAAATGCACGGGCACGCGACGAGCTCGCGACGAGCTCGCGACGTCTCACGAAGTTCGCCATTGTAAAACTCGAGGTACGTTCTGCGTGGCAGGCGCAGCACTTTCGCGGCTCGAGGTACGTTTCGCGGGGCAGGCGCAGAACTGTTGCGGCGCAGAACTTTGCAGCTCGGGGTACGTTTCGCGTGCCAGGCACAGCACTTTCGCAGCTCGCGTTGCGTTGGGCGTGGCAGGTGTAGCACTTTCGCAGCTCGAGGTGCGTTTCGCGTGGCAGGCGCAACACTTTCGCATCTCGAGCACGTTGCGCGTGGCAGGTGAAGCACAGTCTGCCGGCTCGAAAATCGCAAAGATAGTACAAAAGTTGTACGCGAAGCGCAGTTTCGCAGCTCTAGCGAGAAAATCGCGTTTTGCGGGTCCGGCTCGAAAATCGCAATAGCTGAGTACAAAAGTAGAAAAGACAGAAGGGAAGAGAAGAGAGTCGAGAGGAGAGGAGAGGAGAGGACAGGAGAGGAGAGGAGAGGAGAAGAGAAGAGAAGAGAAGAGAAGAGGGAACAGAAGAAGGAAGAGAGCAGAAAGAAGAGAGAAGAGAGAAGCGAGAAGAGAGAAGAGAGAAGAGAGAAGAGACAAGAGAGAAGAGAGAAGAGACATGAGAGAAGAGATAAGAGAGAAGAAAGAAGAGAGGGAAGAGAGAAGAGGGAAGAGAAGAAAGAAGAGAGAAGAACCAAAAGAGAAGAAAGAAGAGAGAAGAACCAAAAGAGAAGAAAGAAGAGAGAAGAGAGAAGAGAGAAGAGAGAAGAGAGAAGAGAGAAGAGACAAGAGAGAAGAGAGAAGAGAGAAGAGACAAGAGAGAAGAGAGAAGAGACAAGAGAGAAGAGAGAAGAGAGAAGAGAGAAGAGAGAAAAGAAAATAGCGAAGAAAGAAGAGAACAGCGAAGAGAAAAGAGAGAAGAAAAAGAAACGAGTTCCTATAGGGGAGAGAAACTTCCGAAAGCCGACCTACGAATGCAGAAATGCCTTTGGCTCGGAGAAGTTTCCGAAACAAGAGAAAACTCGGTCAAGGGCAACACCTACAATCCGTCATTCGCAACGCTACTGGACACGCAACTTCAATCGTCAGAGAAGAGACGAACCACGCGCGACGCCGGACAACAAACGAACGTGATGGGCGACATCGTCGCGGAACCTGCAACGAAACAACAACGCACTACGTCACCTCATATGACTTCCCTCGACCCCGACGTCCGACCGCCACCGGATAGTCCCACGGCTACTTCACCGACCGGAAGACAACATCCACCACTACCAGCACCACCACATCGCCATTATGACTCCGGAAGAAGTCATGCAACCAACCAAAAGACCCAAAAGGACACTACAATCAAATCAACGGACGAAGCGACGACCAAAGAGCCACAGCCACTACGACAAAGCATCATCGCAGTAACGCTTTCCGCGGAACATCCGTCACTTCCTACACAAACGAGAAGACCAACCCATAATCTTCGACAACTAAGGTTATGACTATGACGAAACACAACTACTGGGAAAAATGAAACACGAACGTCCACGGCGAAGTTGATGCGTCTACAGTCGATGACAGCATCATCAGAGAAGCGATACCTACAAGATGATTACACCGCAAGAAAGGACCAGGTGCACGTAGCAGAAGCGTCGCAAAAGGCTACACCGAGAAAATCAAGGACGACACCAATGTTCAGGACGCTACGGACACTTGCACTACAGATGTCACGATCAAGCTGGGTAGCACGACTGGGCGACGTCTCTACAGCATTTCTGCACGCAACCATCGCAGAAGACAACTACACACTGCGCAACAACGACACCACGGTTGAGCGTGCAACAAGATGCATTCTCCAGTCAACCCCACCCAAGACTACAACAGGACTCGTGGATCGGGTCAGGAACTACTGGGCTACCTCAACGATGCGACAAGGCAGGCGGTTGAGGGCATGAAGGTCCTACAGCGCAACTACTTCCGTGAGCACACTACATGAGCCTGAACACTAGGCGACTAGGTGTCACTACAGTAGCATTGATGAATAGTCATGCTTTCATCACTACTCTTAATCTCTTTTGGCTACAGTTGTAAGATAGTACAAGACTACAACTGACGGGCCGTACTACATAGCTTGTACATGACCGCAGGCCTTGAGCTTTACTACATCCATGAGCCCCTGCAAAATAAGAACTGTGCAGACTACAGGTGTGATTGTTTGTGTTAACAACATAACAGCACTTGCACTTGTGGTAAACAACAGTCTGATTTTAACGAGAGAGAGAGAGAGAGAGACAAAGAAAACCCCCTCCTGGGTGTAGAAGTCGATGCCGAAAAATCCAGAGGTGCCGATGAAGCCGTTCCCATTCTGCGCCCCGTAGGCAAAGGCCCAGCCGAAACTCCACCAGCCCAGAGTTCCCACGCACACCTCGCCAGTCGCCGGCCGGACGTGCCGACTCTGGTGACTCTTCTTCTTCTGGGCTGTCAGATCCCCTGGTGAGAGGAAAGCACTGCGGATGGACGAAATCCACTCTGCACCAGGTTGAAACCATGGTTGAAGCCATCGTTTGTTGGTATTTTACAGAAGAATCCTCGGAAACCAGGTATTTGTTTTAGGTGGTGCGAAATGGAAGTCGTCCATCCACGGTATCACTGAACCAACCAAAAACCTAAAAAGCTATGGGGATGGCTTCCCAGCCGCCAAGTTGAAAAAGGAACCTCCCCTTTTTTTCGGAAACCCGCCCTTCTGGGCGGGTCCCCGAAAAACATGCCATGCTTGGGGGCTTCCAAAAAAGAAACCATCCAGATCTTCACACTTGCTCCCATTCGACCGACCTTGTCCCAAAAGATGTCAAGACCCCAAAAGACTTCAACCGGACGTCTTACCACCCCCCCCCCAACTCAAAAAGTGGCGCAACGCTTTTGGGAAAATCAGCCAGTGCTGGTGGCTTTGGAGTACACCTTCAAGTCAAACGGACCCATCTTCAATAGAGAAAACCAAAGGCCACTATAACTCATGCCTCGGATTTTGAACGGGTTGCGTGGGTGTGTCTTTTTCATGGGGGAACTCTCGAAAGCGGGGGCTCAAACAACGTGTGGGGCGTGTAATGTTGACCCCATATTAATCAACCCCAGTTCATTCACGGGGGGGTGTCCCTGAGTTTAGTCGGCAATCATCACTTTTGGAGGGGAACACCCCCCTATTAATACACTAGGGTTGATTACTATGGGGACAACAATAAACTCCTTTTCTAGCTGGAGATTCCTTTGGGGTGCGCTAGCTAGCGATCCGTCGAAAGGCGTTCACCAAGTTCTTCATGAGGACGTTGGAGGCATTCTTGGCTCGGCAGCAGCCGGTCTCCAGCATTGCGAAGCCCGCGTGCATGAACATCACCTCGAGACGCCACCAACCTTTTGACCTTATGCGGCCTTGCTTGGTGTTGAGACTCTAACCCTTTTGGGGGAGGGGGGGGGAGCTTTAGGAGACAGGTTGGCAGTTGGTCGGCCTTCTTGTTAGGCGTTAAGCAAGATTCAGTCATGGGTTCCTCCAGCTGCTGATGGTTTGGTGCGCTGTTTTAATTGTTGGTGGGTCCACCAAAGTGGACTCAAAATTACCCTCCAAATGGATAAAGGGAAAACCTCCCAATAAAGAGACCCAGTACAGCGAAAAAGGGGACAAAGATGGCAGAGAGGACAGCGTGAACCAAAAGCGAGGTGTGAATTCTACTTTCCCGAACGTTGCTGCAAGTGAAGGACTTCGTGTAACATGGGACGCCGACCCATGAATCAACCGGGGGGTTATGAATGCCGGGATTCCCTCAAGCGAAACTTCGCTTCGCATTTAGAACGCAGTCGCGCCCTTTCATCAATCCTCTCCAGGCACTCCAGATGCGAAAGTCACGGGTCAAAAGGCAAAAGGAGCTGCTGCGGATCAGGTAAACAATTTTCCTGAATAATAATAATAATAAATGGAATAGATGAAGGATTTGCCACAAAAGAAACCCATTCCTGAATGCCAACCTGAATCTCCCATTGACGACATCGAAGAACCAGGCATCCCCAAGACACATGCCAAAGCATCCATGTCAGCCGTTCCAAGCCGCATTTGCTCTGGGCAAGTTGCTATGACTAATGATTCCCCAACAGGAAACAAAGAAGCAAAGGACCTCACAGGTTTTCGCTCCCGGCTTCTCTTTCACCCGAAATGGCTCCGTCCGATGTCTGGGCCCCAAGTCCCTTTGTCGCGAGCTTGGGTCGAAAGCCAGCGGAAATGCGAGCCAACTGGGACGCCTGGGACGCCTGGGACGCTGGGATATAGCCGGCATGATGCGGCGGATGCCCTAAATCTTGGGGAACAGGGGAAACCCTATACATTCCCATGGTTTGTCGAAGAGGTCGGAAAGCCAATGTCTGGATTGCCCCTCGGATCTCGAAATACCCGGAGCAAAAGGACGGGGCCTTCGCCAACACATCCCTGTTACTGGAACGGAAGACCA